ACACATGATTTAACGCAGCAGCATTCAAGTCATCAAGTTTCCTCTCCAGTCCATTCCCTTTATTTCAGGTTCTCTTGCTTCTATTTTATTTCCATCCAGGGCAGCTCCGCAGAAGCCATTTACTGGAGGGAAAAGCTCTTTTCCGTGCTAGGTTTTGGGCGGAGACTTCTCTTCCTAACGTTCATCCGTTATCACACAAAGAAAGCGTGGCAAGGTCACGGCGGGGGTGGGCATATTCTCTTTCTTTTTAAAATGTGCCTTGGCATTTGAAACAAAATGTATTTACTGAGCAAATAACTATAAAATAATAAAGGAAATAAAAAATGGTAACATTATCAGCAATCCTATTCAAAACCATTTTCATTACAAATATTAGTGCGTAGGCCTTGAAACACAAGCATCCTTTGATTTTTAAATGTTATAACTCCCATAAGAATAAAATTGCATGTTACGATTTTTACTCTAAGGTTACACTGTAAGCACTGCTACAGCCTGTGTCTACCTCGCCTCCAATATGGAAAATTGTCCTACTGAACACCATTCCATAGTTCACTTAACTGTTGGGCATTTAGGCGGCTTCCTTTTTTCCACTAATATAAGTAATTCTGCAATCAATATTTGAGATTTAAGGATCAGAAGTATGAAACATGGTATGATTATTAATATGTTTTTCCAAATGCTTTCCAAAAGGACTAACGGTTTTCATGGCAACCCGTAACATGTGTGTCTCTGTTTCACCACAGTGCGTACGTACATTTTTAATCCTGTTCTGGTTTCTGCAAGCCTAGGCACCTGCCTCGCTTGAGGTTCTCCTATTTACTCAGGTCTATTGAGTGCTTCCTACGCGCAGGGTACGTCCTTAGGCAAAGGCAGTGGGGGGCTGCCGGCAAAGGGGGGAACTTGTTCCAAGGATGGAAGGTACAGTGACCCACTGGTAGGAGCTCAGGCTTTACATCATGAGCAGCGATGTCAGAGGCATGGGGTTGGGCACAAGGTAGCTCTGACTTTGGAATAGTCCCCTGGGTGGCGGCACAGTGGCCAGCCTGGAGCGGGCCTGGCAGGCGGGACGGACAGGCCCGTGACAGACTGGGCGCAGGAGGCAGGGAAGAGAGGATCCTGCTGGGCTGAGGGAAAGGGGAAGTGGAGCGGATACAGAGGGAGGGCAGGCTTCTAGATGAGCCCCCGCCCCAGCTATGCCATCGTCTTCAGTGGACCTAGAAATGCTTTAGCTGAGCACAGGTGAACACAAGGTCAGCCATCCAGAGAGTGCCCCTGAAGGCCCAGAGCCTGACGCCTGCGGAGCCGGCACCATTTACCTTGGGCCCGGAGCTTGGCCAGCTCTTCGGTGAGCGAGTCCTGGGCCTCCTCCAGCTGCCTCCTCTTCTGCTCCATGTTCTGCATGTAGTCCGTCAGGGACTTGATCTTGGCTTCGTGCTTGAAACAGCGAACAGACAAAAAGGAGGAGTGAAGGACTAGCAAGCGGTCGTCCCCTTGCCAGAAACTGTCCAGCGGGGAACTGCGACGGAGGAGGAGCCCTGAGCCCCGTTTTGAGTTCTGACAACCCAGAGAGCATGTTCTGCCCTTTGCCTGGGATCCGGGATCACGGACTAACTAGCAGGTCCTCTGTTTCGTCTGTGTGTGTCTCTGCTTCATTCCCAGACACCCCTCGTGGCCAGGCCCCTCCTCGCCATCCAGGTCAGTGAGACCCCAAAGCCCAGGCTGCTTTTCCTCCCCGCAGAGAACAGAGTCCTGGAGAGCAAGGGGCAGGGAGGTGTCGGGGGCTGAGGGCTTCTTCTCTGAAACCGCACCTCTGGATGACGTCTTTATAAATCAAATAATACGGCTTTTCTTTTCCTGTCTCTCGGACTCAACAATTCCTGTCTCAAGGACTTTGCATTTTATGTTTTCCTCTCCCTGGTAAGCTCTCCCCTCACCCCTCCCAGACAGGGTCCTGGCTCGATCCCTTGTCGCTCAGAGCCCATCACTTCTCAGAGCTCTGAACTTCCGCACGCTTTATCTTACCAACTTTCTTACCTGTTAGCTCCATGGGGGTAGAGTACATGCTTAGTATAGTTAAGTGGGGTGGATGGATGGATGGATGGATGGATGGATGGATGGATGGATGGATGGATGGATGAACGGGAGTTCACTGACTGAATCGGGATAGTGGTCACTTTTAGGCAGATGGAAAATGCAGGCACTTCCCCTCCAAGTCCACAGGGTTGACATTTAGGCAGGAAGACCCAGGAGACTGAGCTCTAATCTACAAAATGACCTCTGGGCAATGGACTCGGATGGAGCAGTCATTTTATAAGCACAGCTTTTGGTGAAGAGGGTGAGTGTAAGCAAGGAAGATAAGAGCATTTTGCCAGATCTCTTAGATCATGTCAAAAACAGACAGCAAGGTTTGTTTTCCTTTTGAACCCCGGGAAATAAGGATTGACTTCGGCTCTGTGCAAATTGTAGGGGAGCACAAAAGAGCACCTAATGGGAAACTGTGGCTACTGTAGAAAGCCCTACCCAACACAGGGATTCTTTAACCCCAAAACAGCCTACTATTCTTGACTCCCACCTCATAGGCCCAATGTCAATGTTCTCTAAGACCTGGGTACCTGGAACCCCAGTCCTGGGCTCCAAACTTTATAGCACCCCACTTAGGCCATGCTCTGGCTGCAACCAGTTCCAGTGAGCAGAGGTCACAGGCTAAGGGATGGTGCCCACCTGGACCCTATCCCCTTCTGTCTGGGAACCTGGACTCTCCCTACTCCAGTAGTCCCAACGCCACTGCCAGGACCGGTGCTGCTGCTCCCAACATCCACTGAAATAGATTACAGATGATAGAGTTACACGGTTCCCCTGGTTCCCAGACAGTGCAGGGGGACTCGGATGTGGAGGTTGGTACATCCAGATGGAAAGAGAAGACAGTGGGCTGCAGGCTGCTGCGGGGCCTCTATTTGGACTCTGGCTTTGGCCTCCAATGATAGGTGCAGGACTGCCCCAAAGCATATGCCATCAATATCACAGGGCACTTGGAACTCACACTGGAGATGCACTGTGCCCTGATGTTTACCATTTTTCTTCTCAATTTTTAAGAATTATAAAAGTAAAGCAAACCCAGAAAAAGTGGTATAAATTTCACCCATAAGCACTCTTATCAGCTGTTTTCCCCTTATATTCCTGATTTTATTTATATGAATGCATATTTTACAAAGTTGCAAAGCACGTCACAGGAACTACTCAGCATTTTCACTTTCACTATCTTTATATAATTATACTCTCCAAATGGCTAGGTTTAATCATTTTTTTGTAAGAGCTGCATAATATTCTTCCATATAACTTTATGTTATTAGTCTATCGATAAATATTTGGTTAGTTTATCATAATGTAAATAATATTGCATTCAACATCTCCCATGTAAGGTTTTAATATTCTTAATCAGTAAATGATAATACTATATGAACTGAAAATTTTTCATTTTTATTACCAATGAAAAATACCATACATGACACTATTGGACCAAAGAATACTTACATTTTTCATGGCTTTTGATCCCCTAGGTGCTTTCCAAAAGGACTGACCTAATCATACATTTTTCAACAATGTATGTAAATTTCATTATCACACACTAGCATGGAATAATCTTTTCAATACATTTCTGCTTACTGTGTTAGTCATGAAATGGAACCTTGATGTTCTAATTGCACCTCCTAGATTATTAGGGTGGCAGACAGATGGGTGGTTCTATGATTACATATTATTATTATTACATTTAAAAGCCCACCAGAGGCTTTTCCTTCCCCCCCTTAAAAAAAAAAAAAAAAAAAATCACACCAGAACAAGGTACGTGTTTGTCTCCCAGTATTATTTGATGCCTCACTCCATGCTGATACGTATCTGTTTCCCCTAAATGACGTCAGCTGTTTTAATGCCTGGCGTAAGCGGGACCAGTGTACACCGGACGACTCACAGAAGCCTCAAGCCCAAGCACCAAGCTCAGATGGCAGTGGCAGGCCAGAAACTAGGCCAGCTTCTGAAAGCACCTTGCTAAAGTGAAAAATGCCATGGAGAGCCTTACTCGCTAAGCAAATGAAATGTGCCCAGGGGCTTGGAAATCCCTTCAAGGCTTTGGGTTGGAGTCCCAGGTCTGCCTTTCGGTGGCTCCAAGGGTTTGGACACTATTTAATCACCTATGATAAAAATTAAAAGATGAAGGAATAGTATTGTCTTAGATGATGGGAGTTTTAGATTTCAATCTTATCCATTTATTATACCTACCTACCTACCTACCTACTTACCTACCTACCTATCCACAGCTAGATAGATAGAGATACATAGGCACATCCTTTAAAAAGGGACTGAAGGTAACTCGAGTAACTCACACAAAATCTAGCCTGGGCCGCCGCTGCCCGGGGAGGCCATGGACAAGCACCACCTAAAGCGAAGGCCATTGATATCCCTATTCCGTACCATCAGCCCCAATCAGAGCACGGAGGAAGCAGGTTTCTAAAGAAGCCGGAGTGACAGGAGGAAAGGTGTGGCCTACCTGGGATATGAGCAGCTGGCAGGCGGCCAGCTCCCGCTCGCTGGCGTTCATCTTCCTGTTGGAGTCCATCTGGGCGCTCTCGAGCTGCTTGCTGCGGTTCACCAGGGACTTGACCTCTGACTTCATCTTGCTGATGTACAGACGGGCCATGGTGAACTCCTCCTCAATGACTCCGTTCACGTCTGCCAGCTGAGCACAGGGGGAGACACGTTCAGTGACTGCCTCTAATTCCCGGAGGCCATGGGGCCCCTGACATCCGCCCACGGGTCCTCAAGATATCTGTGGGTTCCTGGTTCATAGTCTCGAATTATAGGACCACAAGCTGAAAATGATCTTTAAAAAGTATGTTCAAGTTCTCGGAAACCTCGGGTGAAACTTTCAATTAAAAACCTCTACTAAATGTAATCCTAAATTAAGCAGGTTTTTCTTTACAATTGACTTTTTAGGATAAAAGAGATAATATTAAAAGAAAAAGATTAAAACAACGTTTAAGAGGTGTCCCTTCAATGTCTTATCCTTATATCTCTAGCTCAGTGGAGGCCCAGTGTTCCTAAAGGTGACGCTAAGCCCCTAGAAGAACTCCAATCAGAATTTCCATTATGTTCTCTATAGCCTGCTATTCAGAGACAAGTAGTCTAATGGCTTGAATATGTTTCTACAAGTAAGGATGGAAATAAAAAGGGTTTTCTATATAGTCCTCAATTAAACAACCACAAAATCTAGTGAATAAGAATGTGCCGTCACCGAAAGCCTCTCTAGACGAAGGTTTCTCTGCGTGACTTCTCAGGACTACCTGTCTAAGTGTCCTTGCCTCTACACGCCGGCCCCTTCCAAGTAGACAGGAATCTATCTTATTATTTAAGATCACCTGAAAATAACAGTCTAAACCCACCTCTGGAACAGAAGAGTCTAACAGCCAAAAATTGACACAAGATACTTGGGATAGAAACCATTTGCGGAGATGCAATCACGCTCTTGAAGGGCCGCTGACCAAATGTGTTGTGTGCATATTTTATTTAACCACCAGAGGGCATCCTAGCTCCTTAGTCCGGAACCCAGGCCCCAATAGAGGCTTCGGTTGGTTCTAAGACAATGATTCCAACCATGTTTTTTTGACGTTCCCCAGTGTACTCTAACGGCCCACTTTTGTCACTATTGCTGTCATTAATTCATCATAGGACTCGTGTTTCAGTAAACATTTAAGAGTTAGGAACGTGGAATCATGTATCAACCCCGAAACTTGGGAGCAGATAGGAAGCACCCACACTAGACAGCACCCTGAGCCCCCGGGACACGGCGCCGAGCTTCCCCTAAGAATTCCCCGACAGCGTCAGTTAGGTCAGTGTCAACCAACACAACTCAGGATCTATATTAACAGCAGAAAAATCTACAAGTATCAACTTTTCATTCCATTTTGACTTACTGGAAGTTCTTAGATAAGTCCGTTATATTTCTGACTGCCAACAATTTGTCGGCCAACACCGCTCCTCCTTACAGGTTCCCTTTATAATCCCGTAGCATGGACGTAACGAGTGAGAGGCCTGCGAGCTTTAACTTTGTTTGTTCTTCTGCCTTTGTGAATGGCTGAATGTGGAACAGCGATGAGAAACTCATCCTTCAGCCTGACCACGTGTGCCCCGGGTATTGCCCGGTTTCTGTGGAAAGGTAAGGGGACCTACACAGCTCCTGGCGAATACACGCCGCTCACCCAGCGGTAGGGCATCCAGGGGAGAAACAAAGCCCTCCTCCACCCCAGGTCGGTCCCTAGACAGGGACACTTCCTCCTCTGTGCCCAGATCCCAAGTGAGTTGGGAAGATTAAAAAATGTATTTACAATAATGGGCTTCCTCCAAAATGATAGCTGGATGCCTCTTTCCCCCCAAACCAGAACCTCCGAAGCCTACTCTTGTCCTAGGAGATCTAAAAAGATATTCTGAGTCCATGCCTAATGGGAAAAAGCAATATTTCAAACAAATGATTTTAACTGTAAGGTTTCTTACCCCTGAAGAGTCCGTATATTTCGTCATGTAAGTTCTAAGTTTTCAGTAGTTCTAGTGCACTGTTATTTCAAAAAGAAGAATCAGAGCTTGTTGCTGAGATGTTATTTTTAACCCTCCCCTGGGTCTGACAATGACTCCAACAGCACACACTAGACTGTGTGATCTAGTACAGATGACTAATCCGGGAAAAAGGCTGCCTTCACACGGAGACATGGTGCCTATGGAGGGAGATCGCCCACACACCCACCCGCCTGCCCAGGGGATGCCTGGCCGTGCAAGGTGCCATTTCTAGGCCAAGTGGAAGGTAACTAAGGCGATGGTTCACACGCTAAGACACAGAGTCAGAATGGGACTGAAAAAGAAGTCGGTGTGGGTCACAGGAAAATTAGGCGGCTGATCCGCCCATTTAATTTACAATACCTCTATCCTATTAGCTTGTGGTTGGATTCCCGGAAATCTTTGTTTTAAGGAAAACCCAGGGACATGGTGCATGAAAAGAGGTAGCTCACGAATGAACCCGACAAAATCAACACTAGGTTCATCTTGCCATTAGCTGGTCTCATCTCGTTTGGTTGACTAAACAAAATATTGCCTCTCTGTTTCAAAGCATGGGTGAGCTGGAGAAACACGGGTTCTTCTGTTTCCTTCCGGTGCAGGCCTGTCGTACCTGGAACTGACGGCTGAGGAGACCAACAGCCGTCTTTCCCCTCACACCACAGCACTACCAGGGGGGACCTCGTGGGAACTAAAAGGATTTTATAAACAAAAGCATAAGATGACTGAAAAAGATTTCCTAGATGTGCTCATTTCCTTAGATGAAAATAGTTCTATCAATTGAGTGGTCCTAACAATAAGGAAGGTGTCTGTAATAAGAGGGACGTCATCAAACTAAACAGCTTCTGCACAGCAAAAGAAACCATCAACAAAACGAAAATGCAGCTTATGAGAATGGGAGAAAACATGCACAAATCATGTATCTGATAAGGGGTTAATATCCAAAATATATAAAGAACTCATACAGCTCTATAGCAAAACCCAATCTGATTAAAACATGGATAAAGGATCTAAACAAACATTTTTCCAAAGATAAACAGATGGCCAACTGGTACATGAAAAGATGCTCAACATCACTAATCATCAGGGAAATGCGAGTCAAAACCACCATGAGATATGGCCCCAACCTGTTGGAACGGCTGTCATTAAAAAGACAAGAGGTAACAAGTGTTGGTGACGACGCGGAGAAAAGGGAACCCTCACGCACTGTTGATGGGAATGTAAACTGGTGCGGCCACTATGGAAAACGACACGGAGGTTCCTCAAAAATGAAATTCCTTAAAAGTAGAGCTACCATCTAATTCAGCCACCCTACTTCTGGGCATATAAAAAGTGAAACCAGAATCTCATAGGGATATCTGCATTCCCCCATTCACTGCCACATTACACACAGTAGCCAAAATATGGAAACGACCTGTCGACAGATAAATGGATAAAGGTGTGTGCGTGTGCGTGTGCGTGTGTGTAATGGAAAATTATTCAGACATGAGAAAGAAGGAAATCCTGCCATTTGTGATAAAATGGATAGGCCTTAAGGGTTCTCCCCTCTCAAGTGACATATGTCAGACAGAGAAAGGTAAATACTGTGCGATATCACTTATATGTGGTATCTAGAAAATCTAAAAACATCAAACTCAGAGAAACAGAGAGTAGAGTGGTGGTTACCAGGGTTGGGGGGGGGGGTTGAGTTACGAGACAAAGGGTACAAACTTCTAGTTATAACGTTAAGAAGTTTGGAGAGCTCGTGCACAGCATGGACATTATAACTAATAATACTTATCACATACTTGAGTGCTGCTAAGAGAGTAGATCTGACATGTTCTCACCAGGAAAGAGAAATGGGAGCTATGTGATAAAATGAAGGTGGTAGCTAATGCTATGTTGGTAATTATTTTGTGACATATAAAGTATCAAATCAAGATATTATACACCTTAAATTATACAATGTTTTGTGTCAATTATATCTTAAAAAAGCAGGGGGATGGGCATATCTGTGTCCATGTCATGTAATTTCGAGATAACCTGGCTCACCTTGTCATTTTACAAATTAGGAAAATGAAGCCCAGGAAAGTAAAGTGACTTACCCAAAGTCATATCACTCTTCCCTTTAGCTCTCATTGCCCTAATAATTAAATCATAACGATAAGAAAACTAAAAACAGAATGATTAAGAATATGATGCTCTACAAGTGAGAGTTATCAATGAAATTAACTAGTTATCAATGAAATTAACTAGGGCATCCAATGTCTGGAATCAAAAATATCTTTAAAACATCCAGTAGAGTATTTAAAAATAATCTCAATCATACTTCAGATTCCCAAAGGTAAGGACTCTTTTTTTAAATGCTGAAGCACCCAGACACTCCTTGATTTCATTAGCATTTTTCATCAGCTCTACTTTAGAACTTAGCATAAAAATATCTTCCTTTATCGTTATCGGCAGCAGGCTCCAACTCCCCATAAATCAACTCCACCTTCAAATGTTGAGGGCCTTTCAATCACCCAAACGTCGTAAGTTTATATCTCAACACCAGTGTATGCTTCTAAAAATTCTTCTAAATCCTCAAATATAAAGGCACAAAGCTGGACCTTAATAGAGTTGATCCTATAGTATGAGAATTCTAGGCTAAAATTAGATTCATTCATAAGGGTTCATGAAATATTCAGTTACAATAGAGGTTCAAAGAAAGAATGATTAGTTGTACGAGAGATCATATACTCTAAGCCCAGAGCTGCTCTGCCCTCCAAGAAGGGTTTTCCAGAAATGCCTGTAAACAACGTAAGCTGGGGAGCCTTCTCTAGTACAATCCCAGCTCAAAACCTGAGTGTCCCCCAGAGCAGGCTAATGTACAATTCAGCCTTTTCAAAGTCAAATCGCTAAACTCAAAGCTTTTGGTTTGAGAGACCTGTGAGGGGAAGCTGAGCAGCACAGCACCATCCCCTGGCAGGATTAGACCCACACATTTATCAGTGGCTACTCTGTACAAGGTGCTGCATTATCATAAAGCTACTGTAATCAGAACAGTGTGTTACTGGCATAAAAGTTAAATCAGTGAAACAAAACAGACTTTGAAGGCGGTGGATATGTTCATTATCTCAGTGTGGAGACGGCTTCACGAGTGCACACGTGTATCAAAACTTCTCACGCTGTACACTTTAAGTAAGTACAGCTTACTTTATATCGAGCGTACCTCAATAAAGCCAGTTTTTAAAATGTGTCTATTTTATTTTTCAGTGGCATCTCCACATTGTGGCAAGCTGTTAATTCTTCTTGGCTGATAACTTTTTATTCTCTCTTTTCCCCCCATTTGAGCTCACCGACAGCTTTATGCCACCCTCATTCTTCCCACCTCCCTTTCTTCCTTGCCATCAATGGCACCAACGCGTACAACTCCAGGGCACTGTTTATGGTTTTTTAAGCCAATGATAGTAATCCTGTTCTTTGCTTTCCTAGCTTCCCTTGCAGTTTGGGGTGACCATGTAACCTATTTCTGGCCCATAAAGTATAAGGGGAGGTCTAGGGGACTTTGGGGATACAGTTCCCTCCTGGATGAAAGCTGGCTGCGTTTTCAGCCCATCCTGCCTTGGATGTAGTTGTGGTAGGATGTGATGGCTGGTGCTGCAGCAGCTATCTTGCTACCATGGGACAAAAACCAACAGATAGGAAAAAGTAACAGGCTGAGGAAAGCATAAAGGACGTAAAGAAAAGTCCTGGATCCTTGACATTGCTGAAACACTGCACCAAACCAGAATTTGCTTCGAAAACTTTAATAAGCAAAAGGATGGCCTGGGGAACCTTGTTACAATGCAGAGTCTGATTCAGTAGGTCTGAGGGGGGCCTGATGGAGTCTATATTCCCAACAAGCTCCCAGGTGACACAAATCACAACCTGAAGAGCAAGATTCTAGACGTCTCATACTGTGAATAATTAAAGGTGGCTTTGTTTTTCAAGCCACTGTGAGAATCCTATTACTTTCGGCTAAAAGCTTTCCTAATTCACACAGATTGGCTGGGGAATTTTCACTCGGCTGGGTTCTCACAGAAAAGGAGAAGCACAATTCTGACACTAGAACTGTGGGCTGACCTACCTAACTCCAAGTTCCCGTGACCCTGGCTTATCAGTTTGAGGAATAAACCAATTGACACGAGGTCAGGCAAGATTTGAAGGCATTTCCTACACTTGAAAGGTAATTAATTTTTTCTCTCCCTCCTTACCCAAACAGTCACCCGCTCTGATCCTTCTCATTCCAATATTGCCAAGCACGCGGCAGAGGCCAAGCACCGCCCTACGCGCCGGCTACCCGGAGGCTGAGGAGGGGGGCGACTCACCGTCTTCACGTCGTTGGTGCCGATGATCCCGCCTATCTCCCCCAGGTCCTTCAGCAGCAGGTTCAGGATCTCCGTCGCTCTCTTCTTCTGGTGGTTGCTCAGCTCTTGGAGCTGGCTCAGCTCCCTCTGCGTGGTTGTCAGCGTAGTCTGAAAAATACGTTCCCACGACAAATTGAAAGGGCTGCCCCCCGATTTCAGACGCTCAGCACTGCAACGCACAGCAACTTAATGTAAAGGGGAGTTCTGCTGCCATTTCGTGTGATTTCAACAGAAGGGCTCTTTTAAGCCAAGCTGTAGCATAGGACTGCACTCTGGGACAAGAAGAGGAATTCGTCCTGGGATGTTATGTCTACATATCAGATGACAATCTCCAGGTCAGGGGAATAAGTTATTAAAGATAAATAAAGCGCAAAGGAACCCTTAGGTTCATAACGCCTCACCGTGTCCTCCTACCTGCCGGGGGTGCCGTCAGCTCGCATCCTCAAGGGTCTAAACACCCCCGCGGGCACCCCACCTCCCCTGCCAAACAGACCTGCTCCCTGGACCACTTGCAAATTCCCATCTGACTCCAGTCTGGAAGGCCCAGAGGGGCACGAATGAGCTTAGAAAACAACTTAGAGAAAGTCTAATCTTCCCAGTGAAGCTGAACTGAACACTCTTCATCTCTTTTCAAAATTAATCACATTCAACAAGATCGGGCCTCTTAATGTACAACAGAAGCTCCATTTTAAGCCAAACATTGACAAACTCGCATCTTTTCCACCCCTCGCGTGGGCTAACAAAAGGTACATATTTTTAACTAACTAACTTAAACGCTCAACATCAAAAGAAGAGCCCTCTTTTGGTGTCTTGGTATTAACTCAGCCAACAACAAAAAATAATTCCCCTAAATTAGGGAGCTATGGAGGTTAATGCAAAGACATTTACACAATTCTCCCATACGCAGCTATTTTACTAGAGCACTTTTTAATGATCTGACTAAAAATAGTGCTCTGAATGAGTCCAGTAATACTTTGCTTTGACAGGAAGTAGGAACAGTATTATGGAAAATGTTTCTTTGTTTTGAGAAGCAAATACCGGGGGCTAGTGAAGGAACCCTGCCTGGAGAAGATCATAAGCAGAGAAAACCCAAGTCCCCTCCTTCCCTGGGTGGCTTCCAGTCTGTGTTTCTGTACATCTTTGTTTTTGTTTTGGCCTTACCACTTCCAGTTTAATTTTGTTTTAAAATCCACAGGAGCCGTGGTTCCCACCTTGGGAGGCCGTTTAAAAAGCCCGCAGTCGGATGCGTGGCGTGAGGAGCTGCTCCATCGGCTCTGCGGCCGCGGCCTGGAGCTTCCCTGCACCATCTGCCACTTCCCCTTGCCCGGGAGCCGGCTCCCCACAGAGCAGTTGGGCACAGCCCCACGACACCAGGCCACCGGGCACAGCCACTCAGCTCCCTGCCACCCACTCTCCAAATACAAAAGGACAAAACGGGGGCGTCCCCCCGCCAGGCACCTTGCCACGTGCTCACGGCCCTGACGCTGTGCCCTCGCTGTGCAGAACCTGCAGCACCTTTCTCTGGGAGAACAGAATTAGCACACGTGCGACCGAAGCACCGGCTTGAAGGACAGCAAAGGAACCAGGACGGCGAGTCCTGGGCGAGCAGGGAGGCTGTGGGCGGGGTGGGCTTCACTCAGGGGCCTAAGCAAGGAGAGGGAGGCTCACTGCCTCCCATGGTCACGCTCGCCTGCTGGCTTAACAGCTTGAGACTTTTTATTGATACAGCAGCACAGGCACAGGCTCAGTGCTTTCTGTAAACTGCCACTAATCCTCAGGCCCTGCAAGAAGCACGTTGTTATCGCCATTTTTGCAAATAAGGGAATGGACACTCAAGACATTTAAATGTTTCCACTAAAGCCTAATAGTTGTAAAGACAGGTGTCGCTCCGTGGTTAGAGCGTCGGCTCTGGCACGGAAGGGTCGTGGGTTGAATTCCCCGTCAAGGGCATGTCCCTGGGTTGTAGATTAGATCCCCAGCCCCCGTCGGGGCCTGTGAGGGAGGTGGCCAATCGATGTGTCTCTCTCACATCAATGCTTCTCTCTCTCTCCTTCTCTCTCTCTAAAAATCAATAAAAAATTTTTTAAAAAATTTTAACCAGGATTTTTCTGGCTTCAAAGTCTACACTCTCTTGACTAGTCTACAAGGCGTCCCTGCTAACATTATAAATCCCCTGACTATAACACAGTTGTGCGAGGCAGTTGTAGGACGAGTGGACAAAAGTCACTGACACAAAGTATTTCAATTATTAAAGGATTTCAGAGAATGCATCTAAATCTAACACCAAAAAACCCCTCAGCCAACGGCCTTCCTTTATACAGTCCTGTCAGCAACCGTGAACACGGGACAGCAAAGGCAACTGAGGGAGTCCTGCCCCCTGAACACAAATGCTCCCACCGTTTTCTGGGCCAGCTCATCTGTCAGCTGCTCGTTGGCCCTGGTCTTGTCTTCCACTTCCTGCGACTTCTGGTCGTAATTGACAGCCAGCTCCTCCAGGGCCTGGAGCACTTCTTTCACTTCGTCTTTGGCTGCCTCGTTCTCAATCTGGAGCCGTGTCAGCTCCTCTTGGATCTTCTCATAGTCTCTTCTCGTGGAAGCTAAAAGCTGGAGAGATGAGATGGCACGGGACCGGTGAGCCTAATGTTTGAATGTTTATGTTCTGTTCTCTATCCAGAATAAAGTAATTAAAAAAACCAAACAGATAAAACAAATTGGAGGAGCTCAGGATGAATAGAACCCCCCACTGTACATCCAGATGCTAAATTGAAAAAGAGCAAGTTGTTTCAAAAATCTGTTTCTTCTGCTTTCTTTTCTTTCTCTCTCTTTTTTTCCTCTCTTAAGTTTCAAACTGCATAGGCTTAACACAAAGGACTGATCACACATCAAAAATCACCCCCCTTTGTAGCTGGCCGGCCACCCGGCATGTTTAACAAGGTGTGGGGTTGGGGGAATCATTTCTGAGGACACTGACACTTACGTGGCTTTTTAATATTATCATTTCACATTGTAAACCGGCGGATTTCAGAGTCCACCACACAGAATAAAAGAGCAGCCGTCGTTTTTCTTACTATTCTTCGTGGACGTAGAGAACCACATACCCCAAACGTCCACGCGCGTTAAAAGTGAGAGCCTGGGCATGGGGACACGTTCATTATCTTTGCGCCTACTGTGTCTTCCGATTTTCCCGTAATGGACAGATATTACCTTGATACTACAGAGTTTTATGTAAGAGTTTTGACTGTAACAAAAAGGAAAGTTTATCACAGGCAGTTGTACCAATTTGGAAACGCAAAGGAACAGAACGGGAGGGAAACACTAAGCAAATGGAAGACTCGGCCGTAGTTAAGAGGAAACTCAATTACATGGTTCGCCTCCCTGCAAAGGCGTATGTGATCTCCCTGCCAGGGAAGTATTTGGGCAGCGGGCATAATCCTTGCCCCGGGGAGATGAAGGGGAACAGAGAGTTTCGAAAAGGAAGGAAATGGTCACGGAGAAAGTTATGCCTACGGGAGGGCTGGGACGGGGACGTGAACCCCAGCCACCTGCTGTAACTGCATCGCATGATCCAGTCCACAGCATTTTAGCAACAAATCAGACAGCACCCTGAAGCATAAAAGAGAGGGAAAAAAATACTTAGATGGTCCTCAAAGAGAGAATCATGAACCATCTATGCCTGATAGATTGCCTGTCTCTTCTTTGCTTAGGTTCCTGTTTGTAAAATACTTTGGCAAAACGCAAGGCAATAAAGACGCTCGCTGGAGAATTGAATGCCGTCAGGGAGACTGAAAACAATTCGCCTCCTTTTTATTGTATCACATATATACGAACCCAGCATTTGGACCCCTTTCCTCTCCGCTTTCCCTTCCTCTACCTTCTAATTTTAATTTGTTTGTTTTTCCTAAAAGATAGCACGAGAACATGGTGTAGGAAATGCCTAAGCTGGCTGATTTGCAAAGCTGAAAACAGCTAAAACGGCAAAAAACAGGAGCGCTGAGCACGGGGAATGAGGAATTAGAACCTCCCTTGTCCTCCGTCTCTGCTCTTCAAACACTGAGCGTGGCGACGAGCTCCTCACTCTCAGAATCCCAGGGCTCGACAGAGTCACACATTCGTTCTCTACATCCAGGCAAGATCAGCTTTTAATAGGCATTGAAAAGAAATCTACCAAAAAATTTCCACATGATCTTGAAAAAATTCTTTGCAAATTAAATTTCTGGAACAAACGTCAACAACAAAGAGTAATAAAAGGACTTTGTAAGAAAAAATTTATTGCGAACTTTACCTCATCCTGATCCAACATCTGTTGCTTAAGCTTTTCAGCCAGCTGGCTCTGCTGGTTAATTTCATCATCCTGAAATGAAACATCAGGTTTAATTCTTTTCGGTTAGCTCTGTCATTTCTGATATCCAAGATAGTCCGATACCAGGATGCCAGCTGTGAGCTTCCTAATAAAACGAAGGCAGTGGTCTGGTGCTTCCCCACAGAAGAGAGACTGACTCTGGGATCTTGATTTGGTCAAAATATCTCTCACCCTCCTTTGTCAGCAGATAAAACCTCTAGGTATTCTGGAAAATACAATATTCTACACACTCAACTCAACCCCTGCTCTTCCAGAAATCAGAGACCCAGGGCTTGGGAACTGAAAGGGACTTTGGAGCTTGCCTTCCCAATTCAAAGATGTTTACAGTGAGTTCTTAGCTCAAAAAATAAAGCTGTGAATGTCTGACCATCTGCACTGTAACATATTCCTGTCCCAAATCTTGTCAAACACATCAGTGACCAGGAATGCGGACACGTGGTACGTAGGAGAGACCAGTATTTCTACTTCAAGCCTCTTACTCAGAAAGATTGGAAAAATATTTACTAGAGAATTAATCTTTGGCATGAGCAGACCTCCCTCTTGATCGTAAGTTAATTTTCTTACCAGCGTGGGGAGAGAGAAAAAAGCAAACTCAAGGAAGCTGGGGGGTGCAGCAACCTTAATTCCTACTTTCCGGCCTGTCACTGAGTGGGAAAGGGCTTCCCACAGGCAGATCCGTTGCCCTCACTCTCGTTTTCTGCCACTAGGGGTTGCTGCGCAAAGCCGGGGCTGCCAGCCTCTCGCTGCCCACGCAAACGTCTCGGCCTCCCCCTCGGCAGGTCCACCCAGCGCGGGCAACGCAGCGGGCGGGCGAGGCCTGGCAGCCTGAGGCCCGGCATTCCCCACCCTGCCCATGAGTTCAGTGCGCGGCTGAGGACAGCCTGCGAGAGCGACAGGGCGGCTTCGTGGGTGCCTCACTCCCTCAGCAACAGCAGAAAACCCTATGTGATGACACTTCCAGGCTCTAAACCCCAAGCGGAGTCGCATTCCGTTCAGCATTGTGGGTCCCTCTTCGTGCCAGGTGCTGCCCAGGTGTTTTCAGCAGCAGCCCGTAAAAAAAAAAGAGGAGAGAGAGAGAAAGACCTGCACTGTGCTTTTCACGTTTTCTAGAGGTGAGGCGAGGGGTAAATGCAAGGGCCTACTTAGCAAACCTCATTAGCAAAGGCTCGGTTTTCCACAGGATATTCTCCAGCCTGCCTGGTCGTGTCTGTGCATACATTTAAATCAGATTAACTCAGTGTCTGTCACAGCCAGTGCCTTCCACGGAGCAAGACCATTCTGAAATCGACGCTGCAGGTCTGTCTCTCCTTTTCCTCCGTGTGGCACATCTTCTGCCCTGAATCCGCTCCTCAAGGAGACACTTTTCTACTGAAACGTTCACGTTGATGTTTCTTTAATGCTGCTGCAAAACACTCATGACATTCCTCCCCCAACCAGTTTTCTGGCAGGAGAATTAGGAAAATTACACCAAAGTGAAACTGCCAAAAATGGTATGTCCACAACTAGGAGACGATTTTGTAGGACTTTTTCTTCCCTCTTCTACTCTGTAAACTTAGAATGTCGGGCACCAGGAACGATGCTGTGTTCCTCGGCACATAAATATTAAACGACGTAACATAAAAGACTGAAGGAGTTTAACATCGGGAGTTGCCGTCTTCCCCGGGGACATGTAAACAACAGCTACACGTGATATAAAGCACAAGAGAAGACAAATGGTGGAAGGAGCGCTTTGCTCCTAGCATCCTGGGCTCGTTTCAAAGCCTGAAGACACAGGCTCCCTCCCGACAGGTGACAGTGGGGTGGTGCAGTGACTCTTGAGGTACAGCGAGAAACCGGGGCCCCTCTCCCCACCTGGGAAGACGAAGAACAGGGGTGACACTATCAGGACAAAAGTCACTGTCTCAGGGACATTTCCAAATCTACGGTCGCCCTTTATTAAGGCAACTGCTCTAAGGAAGGAGCATAGTCTACTGTTACTATTTTTTTTTATTTTCAAAACTTTCAGAGTAAGACATGCTACGTGGTCTGTATCCACCGCTGAAGTCCATCTCGTACACCATGTGTACGCGTGCTCACTCTGATGCTATTCAGATCTCACCGTAACGGATTTTAAAGCACGTTTCTGAAAATATTCTTGTACTTGAATCTTCCTACCCATGAAATAGGTGAGTTGTCAACAGGTCACTGGTCACCTTTAATTATGAAGATGCTTTTGTTGTAGGGGTAAACAGTGAAGCAAGGCTCAACTCATATTTCTACTTACACTTAATTCCTTCTCACCTATCTCCAATAGTACAGTTGTACTGGAGAGGTGATGGGGAATGAAAGAGACAGTGCCCACACCAGTTTGCTCATCTTATGTATAACTCTGCTGTCAGCCCACCTATGAACCATCTCCCCTCTGATACCACATAGGATGTGGCTTCTCCGTTAAGCAAGCAGAAAAGGAGAAGACAGAGAAGAAACTAATATTTATTGAGCATCTGCAATGCACTAGGAACTTCTTTCCAATCCCCGTTGCAAACTTTTGAAGTCACAGATGTGAGACCCATGTTGCAGATGAGAAAAACATCTTCAACAGGGTAGGTCTCAGGATTTTAAGTCACAGACCTGGCTCTAGAGCACATGATGTCCCATCACACAGCATTGCCTTGAGAGGGCACCTGTCCTTGGACCCCTGGAGGGACAGCACAGAGGGACGGAGGGCGCTCTGGAAGGAGACTGTGTAGCCTTCCTCCCACCACATTCTACAGGGTTCGTTAGGGCTGACATGTTCCTCATTTAAAGGGTAAGGTCGAAATGGGATGAGCACTGGACTGGGAGTCAGAAGTTGTGTAACCTCATTGCAGCTCTGTCACCTACAGGTGATATAAACTTGGGTAAATCACGTAAACAACCTGGGCTAGTTTCTCATATGAACCTGGGTACTTTCAACTCTACCACTCAATAATCTGTGAAGGTACCACGTTCCAACTCATGTATTCTCAGAAGTATCAAACCACCTACATCATCAGAAACATGAAATACCTTCTAGAACCTTTCAGAGGACAAATAGGAATGACAGCTGATAGGCGGTCCACGAGGAGAGTCCCTGAGGTCAAACCACTAGCTTTGGTGCGACCTAAGGCGGAGGCTTTTGGGCTTGGTCCTCTCCCAGGTCTCTTAGCGTCTCCCTGTGATGGACTACAAATGCTAACCTCAAAATGTGCATTTTACAGGGTTTTCAAGGCATAAACTAAAGGGAAATGAGATGACAGAAAATGTCCCAGGCTGGTCATCAGGAGGCAGACTCCAGGGCCAGGGCTGCCAGCTACCTACTGAACAGCCCACCCCCAAGGCCTGGCGTCCGCGTCACTCTGAGTTCTGTCCTCAATGTCTCCTGTTATAATCTGGACTCAAAACTTTCGTCTTTCTCAGATCAATGAGGGCGCCGCATGCCGCAAAGGTAAATGACCCCAATTCCAACCATGGCAGGTGTCTATTCATAGAGAAAAGTGGATACAATTAGGTTATCATCCCTCATCTAAGATTCTCTGGGGATTATTAAAAATAAAACCAAAAACTCTAAAATGCGGGGAAAAACTACAGTATGTTTAAACAATAGCATTTCTTTGGAGAAATCAAGAAATTGCCTGTACCAGTAACTTATTATTGACTCTTTTCCTCCTTTTTACTGTGAGGTTTTGTGGAAAATCCCAGGGTAGAAATGGAAGGATGACAGTGCCTCAAGGGCAATTAGCCTGCTCTTGCCCGTGTGAACAGGTTATTAAATATGTCACCGGAAGGGTAGGGTGACCCCAGTCTAACACTGTGGTTATAATGCAAACTCCCAGAGTCACAAACTCAAAGCAGAGCAAGCTTCCTTAAGGCGACCAGTCACATTTCCCTTGTAAAGGTGATGCCAGACTCTGAACTTGACTCCAAAGAGAGGCCAGTAAAGATTAATGGCAAAGTTAACATAACAAAGCTGTTTCATCCAAACCAGAGGTGTCCCTGAGCACTCTGAGCTGAACCACAGCAGCAAAGATTAGATCAGACTAAAAATATCAGCAACCTGGATGAAACGAACTGAAAGGATTTCGAAGATTCCAAGGGCAGCATGCCAAGATCACGGGAAACATCGATTTAATTTCCTGTGCCTCTGGGATCCTGAACCTGACCTCCACTGGGGATGAATGATACACACTGTTCTCCGACGACTCTTCTCCTCTATTCCAACTTGTGCACTGGCATGATTATTTGAGTCCCAGGTTTGCCATAAAAACAGACATCCCTAATCAGCATGTGCATCATTCAAGAGTATGTCCTGCCCGGCCGGGCGTGGCTCAGCGGTTGAGCGTCGACCTAGGATCCAGGCGATCGGGGTTCCATTCCCGGTCAGGGCACATGCCCGGGTTGCGGGCTGCAGCCGATCAATGGTTCTCTCATCATTGATGTTTCTATCTCTCTCTCCCTCTCCCTTCCTCTCTCTGAAATCAATAAAGATAGATTTAAAAAAAAAAAAAAGAGTATGTCCTGAAAAAAGCTCTGCCAATAAGGTAGAAGCCATCGCGCCACCACTGAGGGTTCCTCACCCCAGGGAGTGGAGAGCTACACAATTAAAGTACACACCTGAGGTTTGGGAGCCCCACCCTTGTTCCTATAGCTGGGACTACTATGGGAGGAATAGGCCAGGGGAGGAAAGACGAAAGAGTTAAACAAAGACCAAGCACCCTTGCACCCCCGATTCCCACTCTCATGCAGTGATCAGCCCCAGTCCAGTTTCTAGAAGTGAAGACTGTCTCTCGAGGCCAATACTCCACACTTCCAATCAAATTTCCATGAAAATTCCACTCCGCCTGAGCCAAGTTCCCTAACTCTGCCCAATCAAGACCTGGGGCAAATATTAGGAAGAGGGACATAAACATCAACCTGCAGCCCTACGTCAGGAACATGGGGCTTGAAGCTGCTTCTGGCCGACTGTCCTGAGACCTGCGTCCTTTACTCTTTGCATGAGAGTGAGGACTACAGTGTCTGGCCACAGACCTTATCATCCAGTTGCCTGTAGAGACTGGAGAGCTCCTGGTCGTATTTCTCTTTCTCCTCTGCAGAGATACTGGCGACAACAGCATCGACGACAGGAGCAATATTGTCGATGATGGGGGTGTTATCACAGGGCTCCAGGGTCTTCTGGTCCTTAGCACCGATCTGCTCATCCTCAGGCACAGCTTCTCCTGCAAAACACAGCCAGAAGGGGTTGGGGATCGAAGAAACTCAGCATGCAACCCTCCAGGAAGAGTTCCAGAAACAGTCACTCCCATGGAGAAGACAGAGAAGCCACAATGAAGAGCTGTTGCAGAGAGTTATAGTTTGTGCTCTTTCCACTGGACAAGAAAGGTCATAGTTAATTGACCAAAGCTGGTTCCATCAACCACACAAGTCCTTAACCACCCCGACTTGCAGCGATGCCCAGAACTGTCAGCTGCACTTCCCTTTTGAGGAATATGCTGGAGCTTTACTAGAATCATATGCTCTCTAGTGACTGATTCAAAGAGAAGCAGACCTCTGAGGCATCCTAATTACCAGTTAATTAGGTTACTTACTACTTCATTAATGGAAACAGCCACATCAAGGAACAAATTCACCATTGTTTAAACTGCAGGGCCCAAATCCTCTGGATATGAGCTCTCTGAATCCAAAGCACGAAGCCAGGTGGCCGTGGACCCAGGAGCCCTGACTGACGCTCACGATCGCACATTCCACTCTCGGCCACCCTCTTCTACGGGAAGTCGGAATTAGTTGGGTCTGCAGGAAAGTTCAAGTAGAATTATTTCCTGTGATGTCAGGCTGTCCCAGGAAAGAAAAAGCAGCTAATCTAGAACATCATACAGAGACCTCACATACCACTTCTCAGTCTGCAGAGTAGCGTTGGGCTTTCAAAAAAAAACATTACTACGTCTGACCACACAAATTGAGGAAAACAAAGTTCTCAAGCTGGCCAATAGCTATCCTCACCAAGAAAATCACCTTGCAAAGACAGGCTGCATAAAAAGAATTCTGTGAAAACCGTGTAGCCCAACTGAGTCTCTCAAATATCTTCTTGGAAAGGAAACCAAAACCAAACATACTTTCCCCATCACAATGTTTACCATCAACTTCACACTCAGTTTGCTACAATCAGTGAGTGTCTGCAACGTTCCAAGCCCATAAAATGCATTTTGTGGAAATTCCCCAAGAAAACTGCTCTGAGTCAGAGGAAAGTTCTCCAAAAAAGAAACAAACAAAACAAAACAAAACAAAACAACCTTACAGAACCAAGATCCTAATCTGTGGCTTTATCAACAGTATGTATCCTGCCTCAAGGAACCCACCTGATCACTGTATACATTTATCTCAATATAACAAAACACTTTGTGATGGGTTAGCTTTGTTGCTTAAGATTCCATTATCAAACTTGACCATCACAAATGGTCTTCATGTCAAATAAAATTAACACCCAATGATTTCATTTTTGTACCACAGTTCTGTTCCAAGCAGAAACTTGAAGCAAAACCTGGAATAAACTATTACTCTGTTGAATATAAAACTGAGCCAAGACTTCTTCCTTCTAAAGCTCAGCTAGACTGTAAGGTGCCCAAATCTTTTTCTAAAATTATTGACCTGAAACAAAACCAGAATACAAGAGTAGCCTTTGAACTGAACTTGAACCAAATCATTATTTCATTCAGTTTCTTTTTCTTTTTTTAATTTTTTTTTTTAATCCTCACCTGAGGATATTTTTTCCATTGCTTTTCAGAAAGAGTGGAAGTGAAGGAAGGAGGGGAAGAGAGAGAGAGAAACATCGATGTGAGAGAAACACATCAATCGGCTGCCTTCTGCATGAGCCCTGACTAGGGCTGGGTTTTGAGCCTGCAACCAAGGTACGTGCCATTGGCTGGAATAGAACCCGGGACTCTTCAGTCCAAAGTCTGATGCTCTAACCACTGAGCAAAACCGGCCAGGGCTCATTCAGTTTCAATTCCTGGTTTAAAACATCCATCAACAACCTTAGTGTACAGACTGAATTTCACCCAATTGAAGGATTTATATTCTCTACAGCCTGCTAAATCCCTGGGCTATAAAAGCAGTACCATGTTCTTAAGGACTTTTTTTTGTTTAAAAAAAAACAAACTACACGCACACACACACACACACACACACACACACACACACACCCCTTTTTCTAACCATAGAGTATACACTAAAACTTGAAATTCCTCCTTCACCCTGATCTCCCAATTCTGCTCCTTCACACAAATTCACCACTAACACTTTGGTAAGTGTCTTTCCCTGCTTGGGTAATAACTGTATCTCTAATTTTTCAGTTCCAGCTTATGAAATCTGTGAACATGGCAATCTAGTGCAGTGTGACTTTGATATTCTAGCTTAAGCATGACGGTGAAATCCTTAACTCTGCCAGACCACACACCAGCCGGATTATGGTGATATTACCCATAGGCCAACTCACCCCAAATCCAGAAGGTACAAAAACATCTGGAAGAGACATATGCCTGTGTTTGGTTCCAAATGGCCAGGGGGGAGGTGATATCATAAGGCCAGTGTGAGCTAAGAAGCTACCTGGTATGTTTCAATTCACCCAAGGAGGCAGGAGCCAGGAATGAAACCCCATAACCTAGCGGCAAGCAACCTGCTCCAACCAAAGTCACAGGTTTCATTGCCCCTAACGCTGCTCTTCTCCCACTAAGGAGTTACAACACCAAGTACCAGGTTGTCCCAGACTGGGGAGGTTCAACTAGCCGGCCCACGCTGACATAAGGCACCCCGAAAGTGACCAGCCGACGGCATACATGTTTCCAGCGCTAAGGCAGGACACTGGCCACACTGCTCCTTTCACAAATCTAATTAATCACAGGCCCACAGCTTGCCTAACCTCCTGGTTTGCTTTTTATAAAGGAGAGGAAATGATCATGCCTCTCATACAGCATTGTTCTAAAGGTTAATTAAAACAGTCTATGTAAAAAGTACAGAAGGTAGTATTGTTTAAAGTCCATCTCCTCACCCTTCCTCTCCCCGACAAATCGTCAACTTTTTTAGGCTTTACAGATAAATTATTATTATTATTTTGAGATTAGTGTTTCTGGGTTCTTCACAATACCTTTCTGGTTAGAGCTCATTTCCAAAAATAAAACACAATATATCTATGCAAGCCCCTTTCTGGTTTATTATTATTATTATTTATTATTATTATTATGAAGACAATATTTGAAACTACAGCAGACTTCCTGGTTTCTCTTGAAGAATTCTCTAAATCAAAGCATCAACATGGCCCCCACAAAGCTACATCTACACGAGCCCTCCCCAGTGTACATTCTAAAGGTCAGGCAGGCGGGATTATTTTTTGCAGCAGCCGTTCGGGCCGAGAAGAACAAAGCGGCAACACGCAGGAACAAAAGCAGCAGGCATCTGCGGGGGAGCCAGCTCCTGCCCAGGGAGGAACCCAGAGCCGGTTCTCCCAAACACGCTGCCCTTCAAAGCACAGAGGAAATGACTTCCAGAAGCGTCCCTGGTAACTACACTGTCCGGCTCACAGACACGTCTGGGGACTGTAAATTCCCAACACTGTGCACGACCTGACACTAGGCAATCTGTCTCCATGGCAATCTCACCACTGTAATCGAGAATATTCCCTGCACTGCAGACTGAATCTCCTGAGAAGCCCCCACGAGGTGATTACGGAGTAACTGATTGTAACAAGGAAGACAGCTGCGAACAAACCGGAGAAATGATGCCCTAAAATCTATGATGCGAGAACATAAAAGGATTAGCAAATGAAGATTAGCATCGCTTTTTATTTTTATTCTCCTTTGCATTAAAAGCAAATTTCTCTCAGTTTATCCCCTGAGGCTTCATACCTGCGGTCTACAGGGAAACAGCTTATAATATTGTAAAGCATCTGATTTTGTAGAAGGAAAGCTCCCCTCCCCCCTAACTAGTAACCTTCCCTCCTTAAATAAGCATTCTGGCATTTCCCATTGTCAGCTGTAATTACCTTTAAGGACTAAAAAGATTTGTGTGTACACAGGAGCACTGACTTGGAGCATACCTATAAGGTTTGCAGAGCATTTTAATTATAAAATGAAAACCCCCAGAGGGCATAAATAACATTTCTAGAAAAAGTAGAAATCCATCAATTGCAATAAACAAGAATGACAGACTAATCAAAAATTCTTGTTAGGGCTTTTAGTTAAAAACTCTAAAACAGGCTTTTCGGTTTTGTGTTAATGCAAAAAAAAAAAAAAAAAAAAA